GAAGAGTGACACGACATACAAACTAGCCGTTAAGGCTATCGAATTTAGTTGTTCTAGTGTATATTTGAAATTGAAGGCATCTTTAAATAATGAATCTGCAGCTGTTACATATGGTGTGAGAGCCCAGGCTATGTATTTGCCAAGATTGTAGTTGAATGAATCATAAGTGGACAGTATAGGTGGTAGGTGCAGTCCTGTTTGTGTGGTTTAGGAATGCCATAGAGTTGTGGTGTGCATGAATCAGTTTTAAGTAGATAAAAGTGAAGATCGTCAGTAATTAAATTATCGTTTTTCATTTGTAATAAAGTTCTGCTTAATTGTTTTTCATGTGTGTTTGTTGGGTTGTTTGGGATGGCATTGAATTTCTTTTTATTGGAAAGGATGTCGTTCATTTTGTTGATGTATTCTGAATTGTTCATGATGACAGTGGTGTTGCCTTTATTAGCTTTTAGAATTTTAATGTTTCTGTCCTTTTAAAGATTATAAATGGATTTGATCTCGTTACTATTGACGTTACTTTTCAGTTGACGGGATTGTTTGACTATATTAATAGTCTTGTTTGAGAATTCTTTAAAAAAGTTATTTAAAATACAGTTTTTGGGAACTTTGGGAAACCACATTTTGTTGTAGTTGCCTGTTATAAAAGTCTGTTGGTTGATGTCATGGATTTCTTCTTTCTGTAGTTGGAAGATGTTTGAGGTAGAGGTGGTCTTTTGTTCTTTTATGTAGTGGGTCACTAGTCTTCTGGCTAGATCTTCTAGACGCACCTTGAACTCTAGGCATGGAGTTGTTTTGTGGTTGATGGCAAAGTTGAGGCCTTTGTTTAGAAGTTGAAGTTCTGTGTCATTGGGTGGGTTCCTTGTCATCGAATTGGAAATATGATATGTCAATAATTCAGCTCAATAAGTTTTATGTGCAAACCAACCAAATGTTTAGGCTTACTACATTAGCAATCTAGGATCAATATTACTGAATTACAAGTAACAAGTTGCACAATGCATGATGATATTTGATTTATAGGTTATGACCATATGCTATACTGTAGTGTAGACCTTGTTTACTGTTTAATCAGCACTATCCTACATTAGAAATTATGCAACAAAATACTAGTAGTAGTGTTGTTTTGAAATAGAATGATTACCTCATGTTGTGGCAGTATGTTAAAGTATTCAAAGTGCTGCTATTCAGAGATTGTGTGACTGATTTCTGTCAATCTTGGTCAAGTAGTCAAACATGTTGGGGTTGAATTTTGTCTGATCATTCTCAAAATTAGACAAAGTGATAAATTGGTAGAGATGCATAAAAGTTGTATACAATTCTTAGGCCAAAAGTCATTTGGGGTCAGGAGGGGGGTAAAAGCTAGAAATTAGTAAGTGGATAGAGATGTCTGAAATTTGTTCATGATTTATAAGGTCACCAGAGGTCAAGTCCTGGAAACCTTTAAAATGTTTCTCCCAGGGATTTTGTTTGATCCTTCTCAAAATTAGACAAATTAATAAGTGAAGAGAGTCCCCTAGAAGTTGTATAAGATTTTCAGGTAAAAACATCATTTGGGGTAAGGAGGGGGCAAAAATAAGGAAACTTATTAAGGTCACAGATCATTTTAGATCAGCATGATACCTCTTTCTTTAATGCTAAAGATTATGTACTGTTTTTAAAGGGAATTTTACAACTAGTGGGAGTTCAGTTGCTTCAGGAACTATAATTATCTAGGGCCCCTATTTTTACTTGTCCGAGTGTAAAGTGATTCTCATGTTAAATTTAAAAATACTTTTCTTCATTTCAAAAGTCTCAAATTTTATTTACATAATCTCAAAACCTCCTAAATAAATTTCAAACATTTTTTTTCAGTAAAACTTTATATTTTATCTACCCTAACTCTATAGTGTTGGTCAATTTGACTGACCAAAAAAAAATTTAAAACTAAATAAATTTAAATTACCATTTTTTTTTCTTTCCAGAATAAATTCAAATTGTAACATGAAACTACATTTGTTTATCCTAAGTAGTTTGAAACTCATAACAATATACATCTATTTATAATTAACTTTTATTGTTTTATTGCCTTTTGAACCATGTCTAACTGCTATTGTGCCATTATAAGTTGTAAATCACTTGGGGAACATTTGAAAAAAATATACACATCATTGGATTCCACAGTCAAATATTATTAATCTGCACTGCAATTTAAATTATGTATTAAATAATGAAAAACAATTAATAACACAGGCCTATGATGGTTTTATTGTCTAGAAATTTTTACATGTTCTACAGTAATTCCTGTATGCTGAATCCAAAAAATATCCATTTTTCTCCATCATGTACAGATTTTTCACAATATGTCATATGTACTTTTACATAAGTAAATCACTTACATTGAAATTGGGTCACATTTTGTTATGCTTAAAATGTTGACAACCACTGGCTATAGATTCCTCTCGAACAATCAGAACCTGAGTCTTATTGATTTTTCTAGATCCCACGAGAAACACCACTCGTACATAAACTGTTAACAGGCCGCATGACGTGTCATTTATGGATAGTATTTGTGCGTGCACTTTGAAATAATTTTTTCTTTTCAATATTATTTATTTGTTGCTATGGCAACAAGAGGTTGTGTAAATGACCCAAACATATTAGTGTATTTGTGGTAAATTTGTCGTAAAGAAATGAAAGCAAAACATTACGCTATTTTAAAATAAAATTTAGGGACCATGACAAATCATGGGCTCCACACAAAGTTTGCACCATTTGTGTTTAAAAGTTGAGACAATGGACTAAAGGTAAGAAAAAGTCTTTCCCTTTTTGAATTCCAATGGTCTGGCATGAGCCTAGAAATCATGGAGATGAATGTTATTTTTGCTCATGTAACGTGCAAGGCTACAACACTCGAAATTTAAAAGAAATTTCTTTTCTGAACCTTCATTCTGCTCATGGACCTGATGTACTTGTACCTTCTCCACTGGAGACTTGATACAGTTTTGTCTGATGTCAATATAAATAATGATAGGAATTGTTTT